CTCCTCTAGGCCACTTCCACCCAGATGGCGTGGGCTATGGCAATTGGATTTCCTGGTTCTAAAGACTAGCTTGCCCTTTTTGGACACTTCTTTTTTGTTTCACCTTTTTATTTTTCACCCAGTTTTATTATCGCATAACCAAATAACATAAGTGGTATTGTCAGTGCTATCATCAGTTAAGTTCCCCAAATTAAGCTTAAAAGAGGTGTGGGGTATGTGGCTCCCCGTGAGTAACAGCTTGCTCTGCCTATCTAGAGGCAGAGCCAGTTGTGCCCGCCCTCTCCCCCGTCCGTTCCTCCAGTCAGCGCAAGGGGGGGGGGGGGGGGGAATCCCTGGAGGGAGCGGTGACGGTCACCACTCACTGCAGGGAGACATTTGGGAAGTGAGTGGATCGGTACATGTTTCTGCTCACTATATGATTAATAGTGCTGACCTGTGACAGCTTCTTTGTCACAGGTCGGCTCTAACTATGAGGATGAGTGGAAATCACTCGCCTCATAGCTCTTGCTTTTAGGCATATAAGCTGACTGTTGGACCCATTCAATGAGTGACATAAGAGGACTATATACAAATGGCTACAGAGTACTGCTAAATCAACAATTTACCACTTAAACATTGAACACTGACAGTGTCACGTGGGCAAGGGTACTAGTATGTACCACAGGATAGAGAGAAATGTAGCTGGGTGTAGAAACAAGTGCTGAAGCACTCAAGATCTGATACTTGCATTTTACATTGCCTATATTGTGAGGGGTGAAATCGGTATTTTGCCATCAATCTTCAAAATAGAATCTCAACTGGTGCCACCTCAGGTGTAGATAACCTGGCTGACCATATCTTAGCAAACTCCTGTGGGCACCCCTTTGTTGGCATGTTAGTTTCTCCAGCCTAATCGACCTCTTTTGGCCATTTGGTGAGTGGAAAAAATCCACTTTCTTGCTACCAACTTTCTTATCAGGAGCAGTAGTCTAGTAACGGCAAGTGTACTGGTAGTCCAAAATGACCTAGGACACATGTGGAGGGTATATTTTTAAGGTGAGCATCCAAAATTTTGTTTTGGAACTTGCTGCCAATACCTGGAAAACTGTAGGGCATCGCCAAAGCATATATTGTATGTGGTCCTTGGGGCAAAGACTGAGTCCCTCCAACCAAATCTGTGGAGATCTATAGGCTTTAAGGATAAACCGTTGCAAGTCTTTTTTTTTGGACAGACATGGAGTCCAGAGCAGTGATTTCTAGACTAAATTCTCACTATTCCACAGAGGGTCTTTTTGGGTTTAATAAAATGTATTGCTCAGTATATGGTTGGGCACCCTCATTTTTTTATTTTGTTCTCAAAGATAGCTTGCCAATAGGACTTTTTATTTTTTTTATTTTTGCAGACATCCCACACAGTTCAGCTTGTGGAAACCCCGAAGATTTAGAGAAAACATGTAATCAGGAAGAGTGTGGAGAAGCAGCTGATCACATGGTTTGTATTTGTAAATCTGCCCGAATCTCCAGTTTGGTTACTCTTGTGTAGAAGTGTTGCATATAATATTACCTGAGCATTAAGAACAGGTCCTATGTTGGAGTGGGGGGTGAGAACAGATGCCCGCCCTCTAATTTCTACACCATATTACCAGACATAACCACAATCTTGGTGTGGTAGTTGAGCACTGCTACCATTAAGCGGTGGAGGATGTCCGAAAACTACAAACGGGCCTAGTTTTCTTAGAAGTGTATGTCTGGCTGTAGCTTGTTCATCATGACACTACCATGCTGTTTGAGGAAATGCCTTAAACAATTAATTTTGTGACATCACTGGAATGTGGAGGCTACAGCTCATGAGTCACTTCCTATTACCCATTACTCACAGTGCATAAGGTCACTTCTCATTCATGTTGATGGTTTACTCATGAAACCTAGTTCCAGTATATGTAAACCCAGTCACTAAAGTATCATGGCATTTCAATGTTTTTCAGACCAATGCCAGGAATACTACACATTTGAAAGGCCTGTGAGCTTTTTACCTCCCAAAGGATTGTATGTGTCAATTGAGTCCTGAGTTGCAGAGACTTGCCAGACTGTACAGCCTGGTTGGTGACCTGACTTTCTCTGCAGTTAGGCAACATAGCTAGGTTACCTCCATGCCCCAGCACTTGATTGGATATTGAAGGAGCAGTAACTCTGCTCCTGTTCAGATGTTTGGTCAGTAAAATACAGGACACTTTATTGGGGACCCAAGTGCTGCTTCCTCTGAGAGCTGCTGTAAAGGTCATTGCAATAGGCTAAAAGCCATCAGATAATGTAAGTGCATTATAAATGCAACTAGAATACCGAACTGCGTTCTATTCTGTAAGGTTGGCTTTAAATCTGCACCATCCTTTGTGTCCAGCCAAAAACTGGTTTTACTGCTATCCAGGGTTGTTGGCTTTTCCCTTTCTGGGTGAAAAGTCTTTACCACACAGGAAATCTGCAGCAGACACAACGCTGATGGGGGGGCTTCCCTACTCTTCAGCATGCATTCCTGCATGGCCGAAGCATCGGTTTACTTTTATCCATTATAACAGTGGTTCTCAACCTGTGTAACCTCAAGACCTACCATTTGTCTTTGGTCATTAAGTCATGATCCAAGTCACTGCACTGGAACGCACAGCATTGCGGTACTCCACGTTCCAGGGTGGGTGATCAAACTGTGGGTGGGAGGTGCATTTTCAGTGCCATTCAAATGAATGGCAACACCTCCCACTTAGGACTGGACTGTGATTAACACACTGCTAGTGTGAACGGGCCTTCAAAAACAGTGACACACAATCTCCCACACTCAGACATTCTCACATGTACACACCCCAAAAAATGTTTTCTTTTTAAGATCCACCCAGTCTCCCTACCTTACAACTTGGAGGAATGTAAATGTCACCAGCATAACAGAAGCTCATAAGTAGACTCTGAGCCTGATGAAGAGGACCCTGTGCGGCCCCGAAAGCGCTTGTTCTGAGTGACCTCTGTTAATAAATGGATTTGCACTGACTTATGAGCTTCTGTTGTGCTGGTGACATTTACATTAAGCTGTTTTGTGTGCGGCACCATCCGCTGCCATTTCAAGCACCCACTTACTTTTTGGGTATTTCCGGTAAGGAGTGCTACAGGGTTTATGACTTTTTCTCTACAAAACTTGAATGGATCCTCAGCCTGGGGTCCAGTGTTGGCTACTGTGCAGTATCTGCTTGACGTGGGGGTGGGATAGGACTATGGCCACGAGGGAGCACCATCCATATGTAGAGGTGCTGGGAGCCACATTGTGACATCAGTCCGGTCCATGCACCTGTACAGGGCACATGAGGAAGCTGTAAGCAATGCACATATGGAGGCACTCCCTCGTGGCCATAGTCCTATCCCACCCCCCACGTCAAGCAGATATTTGACACCGGGCAGCATATTTTGAATAGTTGCTTGGCATGAGAACTGAGGAGCCAGAAGGCATGTGGTGACCCACTGAACACGGTCGCAACCCACTTTTGGGTCACAACTTGGCAGTTGAGAACCAAGGCATTATAGTATAAAATGTTATAACATGAGTATCTGCAGCAAACGCTAATCATTTTTTTTTTTTCTTTTTTGTTTAGGGTGAAGCAGAAATACCAGGTGAGTAGCTCATTGTAAATTGTAAAACTGTTATTCAGTGCTTGCTTTACAGCTCTGGTCAGTTGCCACAAACTTTTTTTTTCTCTATAGAAACAGAGTTTGGAAAAGATGGCTCTCAAGCTGCTGGAGACAGCGAACAACTGGCTGCCCCTGTAGCAGTAGCCAGTAGGCGAAACCCTCCAGGAGGAAAGTCCAGTCTGGTCCTGGGCTGAAACTCTACACTGCTCTAGCATTTTCTTCCATTTGACTGTACATGTTTCTTTGTTTTAAGCACTTTGTCCCAACCCTCTCGTTGTTGTGTTCTTGATCTACTGGAAACGGCATGAATGGTTTTCTATTTTCCATGTTTGTACTTTTTTGTTTTTTTTTTGTTTAACATAATAAAGAATGTTTAATGGTTGCTGGTGGATTAAGTTGTGATTTAAAACCGAATGATACATTGAGGGCTCATTGGTCAGCATGACCACACTGGCCCATGAGAAGCACTTGCTTTAGGACCTGGTCCCAGGCTCAGAGGCACTTTTCATTGGTCAGCAAGTGTGGCCATGCTGTTATGTGCGTGCTGTACACATTGCTCTTCAGGCTTTGCAAACAAGGCTTTTCCTGCTTGCTGCCATAATTACAGCAGGACTGTCAATAGCAAAATCAAGGAGTAGGATTTTTCAGCTGGCTTGATCTCTAAAGGCTGTAGTACTAAATAAGTGGGTAACGTTGCCAAACCGCTTGTACACAATAGTGTCATTCACTGGGCTTCTTTTGAACCTGGGACTGCTGCAGGCCCTTTTCATGGCTGGCGAACTCTACACTCCATTCTCTAGGAATAAACTCAGAAGTGCTCAACTGAGCATTTAGGTTCCGAGTCCCAGAGTAATTGTGGCATGTGCTGGGTGTGCTACAGATGAGGGATTGGCTGAAGGCAGAAGAGACCAGTTACCCACTTAAGTGGTATGTCGGCATACTTGGGACTATCACAAAGGTTAATAAATGTGTAGAATGCTGGCGGTCAGCTTTCTTAATATAGGGGAACTCAAGTGTAGCAGCTGACAATCCCTCAAAGGACGGCACATAAACGGTGATGTTATGCTGCTGGAGATGTTCAAGACAACACTGATGCTACAAGAGATATGAAGGGGGGGACCCTGAGGGGACTCCGCCAAATACTGCCCCCCTGCCAGCATATACCCTCATCCCGCCCACCCCTTCCCCCCAAGAACCTAGATGACACTAGTTTGGGTTAAAACAACGAATGCCTTTATTTTCAAACAGGACAAACATTTTATAGGCAATAAGGGACAATCCCCCTTAATCAATAAACATTAATTACACCCAACCAAGAACCAATAGGAACTGATAAAAAAAACAACTTTCAAACCAAGTAGTAAACCCATGATGCACAGGGGCACGTAATCGCTTATCTTATCAGTCTCAGTCTCAGTGCCTGTGATCAGGAAGGTGGAGTCAGGCAAATGACAAAACTATCCCAACATAGTTTCAGCTACATATCATGCAAGCCCAAATCTCTCACCTCCCTCAAGTCTCCAGGTAACCCTGCTGTGAAGCCCCTGTCTCATTTTACATCCTGTTTTAAAGGTCTAAACAGGAAGGGAAATATTTGTAATGACACAAAAAAGACAGGTTTAACTCTCCTATGCTATCCAAAATGATAGGTTTTTACTTTAGATATGCTTTCAGCATATTACATTTAACATTGGAAGCCTGTTCATACATTAGATTAAAAAAAAACCCACATGCAGTACTTTTTTTTTTGTTCTAAATGGAACACCACAATGCCTGGTATATGTGCTGCTGTGCATTGTGTTCTGATATGAACACAGAAAAGCGCCAAAAAGGACGACTCAGCCAGCATGGACCAATATAAGCACAAGTGTAGTCAGAAACAAGTCTGTAAAAAAAATATATTAATAATAAAAAGCACGTGTGTAGAAAGGTCTGCAGGATGCTGCCCCCAAACCAGCCAGGGAGACAGCAAAATCTAGGGAAAAAACACAACAAGGGGCGCCTTTCCTGGTGCAGACAAATTTATTAAGATCAGGATCAAAGGTAGATAAACATACATTGTGTTTTTTTTTGTTTTTTTTATCTACCTTTTGATCCTGCTCTTAATAAATTTGTCTGCACCAGGAAAGGCGCCCCTTGTTTGTGCATTGTGTTCTGTTCAGTGCATTGGGGTACCATTCACAAAATATGGCACAAAAGCTACACATGGAGAAGGTGCGGTGCCATGGCTGCCAATCATGCAGAAGTGTAAATAGGCCTCAAAGTGACTCATGCCATTCTTCTTTCTATCCCATCTAACAGTACCTGAGCACAGGCTCTTGTAAATTTGTCATTGCTCCCTTTCATGTTCTAGCAATACCTAGAGGGTAGCTCTTAAAATTGACTTTCTAAAATATTCCATCCTAAAATATTCCTGCCTAAATATGACATTCCCCTTCTGTCAATTGGCTGGGAATGAGGTCTTTGCAGAGGGGAAGCTGAAAGGCCAATACATTGCAAGGGAATTAATGCAGGCAATATGACATGTTTAAGGAGAACTATGGGGTCAGGGCTTTTCCCCATAGTTCTCCGGGAGGACACAAACTAGCGTCCTCCCGTTACCCTAAGCTCAGTATACCGCGAGCTACAGCTCGCGGTCTACTGAGACGCCGCAGCCAGAGCGGTTCCTGACATTGATGTCGAGATCCGCCCAGCTGTGACAGCTGGCTCTGCCTATCGAGAGGCAGAGCCAGCTGTACCCACCCCCTCCCCCGTCCAATCCGCCATTCAGCGCTGGCGGATCCGAGGGGGGAATCCAGCCCCTCCCGTCACGGCAGAGAGCCGTGACAGGATCGAGAGATGAGCGAACGCCGGTATGTGTTCGCTCACCTCCCGATCTACTGAGCCGACCTGTGACAGTCTCATTGTCACAGGTCGGCTAGAACTATAAGGTGAGTGGAATGCACTCACCTCATAGTTCTCTTTTTAACCTAAACCACTTGACTGGCTGTGTGCCTATTTTATGGGACATGGGGCCCACTTTATGTTGCTATACTGGAGATGACGGCTTTGAAAACAAAAAATTAACCCCCATTGCCTGGAATTTTTCAACTTAAACATTTTTTTTCATCTTTGCTAAAGCATTTGAGAACACTACTAGTTTAACCCTTTCACTACTAGGCCCTGTGCTCCATATATGGATATTTGCAACGTAATATGAAAAGATATAGTTGTCTTTCAAAAATCTTTACCAGTTTTGGGAGGAAGCTGGATCATCAGAGGAAACATGGGATAAACATACAAACTCCAGATTTCAACCCAGGGCTAAGCACTTCATAGCAAAACTGCTGACCAGTGATGGATTAGTTTATCTCAATGTTAAAGAAAGCATGCCTGCGTGTATCCTTAAAGTAATCTTGTCAGGTAAAGTAAATTGGCCACAAGGATGTTCCGGCGAAATAAAACCAATACCTCTTGCCCTGCTAAATAATCCTTAAAGAGCAATCATACTCAAGTCTGCTGAGAAGCCAATATTTCCATGAGTGTTGATTTCCCCAAGTGCTCAGTGGTTCCTTCCTCCAATTCACTAGTGTGTCCTCTCGGGAAAGAGCGGTATTCAGCCAGAGTGGGACAGCTTTTGTGGCCATTTTTTTCTTCACTGGATAGGGTCACTTTAGGGCCTTATTTTGTTTCAAGCTGGTTTTGCATTCTTGTACAAGTGAAATGCAGTTGTCGGTGAATTCTAAATGATCTCAAACTGATCCTATTGACAAAAGCCAAAAAGCTCATTGACCCGGGCCCTGAAAAATTATTTGCATGGCCACGCTAGCTATCCTAAAATAGGGCATACCCCTTGTTTTTGGAGTAGCGATTGAAACCAAATAGAATTTGCAGGGAGGATGAAGTCATCAATTCAGTAGTTCTGCATTTGAAAAAGGAACAGTTCCCATGATCCTCCTGTATCGAGTGTCCTATGTAGCCTAGAATGCCATAAAAGGCTGAAGTCTTTTTCAAAGCAAAATGTGGCATTTAAGGTATTCAGGTAATTTTATTTACACTGAAATTTCTTTGTATGTTAACATATAAAAAAAGTTCCCAATGCTGGAAAGGCATTCGATAGAGTGGATTGGGACTTCATGGAGCAATCTTTGTTACATGCGGGCCTGGGCACTCACTTTGGTGAGAAAATGATGGCATTATATACATGTCTCATAGCTAAAGTCAAAACGAATAGTTCTCTATCAACCAGCTTTCCTATATCCAATAGCACTAGACAGGGATGCCCCCTCTCTCCCCTACTCTGTCATTTCATCAGAATCCCCCCATCCGCGATATACAACTCGGCATGATGATGTTTGGTGATCTGAGTAATTTTAAAGGGACATACATAATTCGGAACTTCTGAATGTCTCCCCATACTTGGAAAGAATTGTGATCGATTCCTCTGTCTCCTTCAAATGGAATGCTCTCTGAAGTATTTGGGAATACAGGTCCTGGAAGACCTTACACAAATACATACCTTGAATTACATAGCCATCCTTGCCTAGCTTAAAACAGATCTCAGATAACGGAACAATTTACTCCTATTATGGTTTGGTAGAATGTAGGGATGCACTAGTATCGGTATCAGTGCCGAGTATTTGGGTAAGTACACGTACTCGCCCAAATGCTCCCATGCCCAGCCCGATAGCTAAGCTTCTGGTATCAGGAAGCCGGGCAGCGAGTCACTACACGCTGCCTGATTGGCCATGGAGCCGGCTTCCCGACCAATCAGAAAACGGGGCAGTGAGTCATTACATGCTGCCCGGCTTCTTGATTGGCAGGGAAGCTGGCTCCATGGCCAATCAGGAAGCCAGGCAGCGTGTAATGACTTGCTGCTCAGTTTCCTGATTGGTCGGGAAGCTGGCCATTCAGGAAGCCGGGCGCCGTGTAACAATGTGGCGTCTGGCTCTTTGATTGGCCGGGAAGCTGGCTTCATGCTCCCTCATCACCTCTCGACAAGGGAGCATGGAGCCAACTTCCTGCCCAATCAGGAAGCCAGGCGCTGCGTCATTACACGGCGCCAGGTTCCTGATTGGCCAGAAAGCCGGCTCTATGCTTCTTGTCATCTAGTGACCAGACGCATGGGGACAGCTTCCCTGCTAATCGGGAAACCAGGTGTCGAGTCTTTGGCCCCTAGGACAGAATCTTCTGGCCACACGTCTTGTCTAAAGGCTCCCTGATCACTGTGGTTGAACCTACCTATTGATGTTGGCAGAATGTGCTCCTGGTTCTTATATAGACAAATCCACAGCGTATATAGCTCGTCAACACCTAAGACGCAGGTACATAGTTCTCTCACAGTGTTTGAGTCACTGTGTCCAGTCCCAACCTCCAACCATAACAATCTCCCTGCTATATCAGCTCATTTTAAATCAAGAGCCACATTCTCCAACTCTATTCCAACATCAATCTTTCTCCCCTGCAGACTGGCAGAAAGCCTTTACCCTAACGCATTCTTTATCCATCCCAAGAACAAAAGCCCAAGAACAAAACTACAAGATACTCACCAGACGGCATCTCTGCCCTTCTAGCCTACATCATATTTTTCCTCACATTCCCAACTCTTGTTGGCGATGTTTTGGGGACAAAGGAACATATTTGATGGGTCTGTCCCCTCATTAAAACCCTTTTGGGACATGATACAAACCATCTTAACTTTACTGTTTAATGATGCCGAGCTCTATTTCAGTAATCCTGAATCACTGGAAATCCCAAATGATCCCTACCTTGGGGGAGTGGTTAGAAGTTCGTAATGACATTATGCAGATGGAACTGATGATTGCCATGGATGCAGATACAATGGAGCACATTAGAAATATTTGGACAGAGTGGCTGGTATATAAGGAATCGCCAAAAGTAGGATATTTACGGTATAAATTTCGACCGGTTCATCTGGATTCGCACAGTGGTTGCTGCTATCGGCACTCTTCCAGCTGATTAAAGGAACAGGTCGGAAAATGATTGGCCAACGGAGCGTGCAGCTAATCAGCTGACATATTCAGAATACAATGCAAACAGCGATTAAAATAAGACAAGTGTGTACCCAACTTAAATTTTGGGTCTTCTTTGCCTGAAGCAATTCCACCACCTGTTAGGTGATGTATCTGGAATTACCCTCCCACTCCTTTCCCCTCTTCCCTTTTCCCACCCATATACTAAATCTCTTTTTCTTCCTGCTTCTCGACTCTTCTTGCCCATTATTTTTATCTCTGCGCTCTCACTTTCCTATCATTTCTTATTCCCTTCATGATTTGAAAAAATATTGTTATATTGTTTTGATAGCTCTGCTGCAAAGTTGGGTACATTATTTCTCTTATTACGCATGATATGATTTACACAAACGACCATTGTTGGCTTTCCTGTATGTTGTTTAATCTGTCTTTAATAAACACTGATTTTAATAAAACATAAAAAAAGTTCTGCCCTACTAGTGCATTATATGAAAACTCAGTCCTTGGGTCAGTCTTTGGGAAGAGGTATTCCCAGTGCAGTGTGCTGGTTCAGAGACCTTGCTTCTTCTACTTGCTGTTCAGTGCAGTAATCCTCCAGAAAAACTTTAGCCAAATTGCAAAATCTACGGTTGTCTGACAGAGAGAAGCGGACCATACACTCTACAACAGGAAGAGTAGTGATTTTAGCTCGAGAAGCAGCTGTACACAAGTACATGAGTGTAGTTATAGCAGAAAGAACAGTCTCTTCCCGGCGACTGGACAAACAGTTAATGATAAGGCTTAGACTTCCCGAGGACAAAATGTGATTCTTGATGGCTTTGTCCAGACACAGGTTACAGATGCCACCTTAAAAGAAAGCAGAAAATATCAATTAGTAATGTGAAGTTATACCTGATCAGTTAAAAAACAAAGAGCTGCTATAGCAGTGCCACTTTAAAATGAAACCCGGGACCCAAATGTACCTATTCCAAATTCCACTAGATTTTCATTGTCTTCAGTCAGCATATCCAGAAACAAATCCGGAACCTGCAGCTTCTGGAGGTCAGAGAGGTTCTTTGGGTCATAGGAGAAGTTTGCTAGGTTGGCCAGGACCTGTTCTTTGGCTTCTGTAGAAGAAAAACAGAAGATATAAGCTACTAAACTACAGATAAAACAGAAGAAGTTTTAAAAAAGGTACCTACACCATAGTTGCTGAGATCTTCAAGTACTATGAAGTGATTCTTCACTTGGCATATTACAAAAAAAAATATGTCAGTATGGAATAAGTGGAATTGTTGTCTCAGACCTTGAAGTCTGAGAGTTGCTGATCTGTCAGGATCCCGACCTTACTCAGGTCTCAGCTTCTGAGTGTGCAATGTGGGAGGTCAGTAGACTGAAAGGAAAGAGTTCTGTTCAAACTGAGATTAAGCCCGGCATGCCAGCACTAAGCCCCACCCAAACAATTAACTGTCAGCGCTTCAAGTGCCCACTGACTTCCAGGAATCTGAAAGCTGAACCCTGAGTGGCCTTAATCCCAACTTGGGCAGAAAAAATATATATATTTTTTTTATTACAGGCAAAAATGACCTAAAGGGCCAAATAAGCAAACTGGCTCAGTCTACAAATGTGCTGGGTGCAGCAGGAGAACTTCCAGTGCCATGCTTAGGACATGTCCTGCCCATGTGCAGAAGAGCTGCTGGTGGAGACAATAAAAGTCAATAGCCAGCCACAACCTAAACAACATTCAGGCCAGCAGGAAACCGTGTACTGACAACAACAGAACTTTGTATTAAAATAATCAATACCTTTAGATGCTAATACATAGGGCTGCAGCTAACGATTATTTTCATAATCGATTAGTTGGCCGATTATTACGTTCGATTAATCAGTTAATCGGATACAAAAAAAAGGCTCCAGTGATGGACTACTAGTTTCTATTGAGATTGTAGTCCATCACAGGAGCAAGCTTGGCACGGTGGAAGTAAAAAAAGTGTGGTGTGCAATATAGTACATTATACAGCGGCGCAATGCAGAATACCAGCAGCTATAGAGGAATGCAGCAATAGTACATTATACTATAATGTACTATTGCTGGGATTTGTAGTCCTCTGTAGCTGGCGTTATTCTGCATTGCACTGTATATCATGTATTATTGCTGGGATTTGTAGTCCTCTACAGTGCGCTGTATAATGATTATACGGCGAAATGCAGTATACCACCAGCTATTTAGGAATACAACAAATGGCAGCAATAGTACAACATTATACAATAATGTACTATTGCTGGGATTTGTAGTCCTCTGTAACTGCTGGTATTCTGCATTGCGCTGTATAATGATTATACTGTGCAATGCAGATTACCACTGACCAGTTAGAGGAACTACAAATACCAGCAATAATACATTGCACAGCGCAATGGAGAATACCACCAGCTATAGAGGAACAACAAATCCCAGCAATTATACATTATACAGGCTGTTTAATGTATTATTGCTGGGATGTTCCTCTATAGCTGCTAATGTTTTGCAGTGTGCCGCTTAAAAAAAAAGGAAAGTGCTAAATACATGAGCAAAATGGAACATCATTCAAGTTGCACTAGTTTGTATTGAGGGCAGGCAAGGATCAGCTTATTTTAATAGTGAGCACTTTTCAATAATAAGGTTTCCTTGAGAGATTCTGACTAAATTGAAAAGTGCTCACTATTAAAATAAGCTGATGTCATTACATCCAGATCACTACAGTTACATTTCTAGTGTAGTCTACTCCTGACTTACTTTTAGAAGGTGGGCCCTCAATTGTCTGCAGGCCAGCGACGGGTGAGGGAGCTCACGGCGAGGAGACCAGCGGCGAGCGTGGCTTATGTGGCGACTGAGGGAGCTCACGGCTAGGAGGAGACCAGCGGCGGGAATACAGACCAAGCCTTATGTGCTGAGAGAACCCTATGGGCTGCCATTGGCCTTCATCTAAAAAACTAGCTGCCTTGCTGCCTATAACTTTGCTACTATCCAAATCAATGACCTGGAAAAGGCATGCATCAAGGGATGCACCCATACCGATACTAGTATCGGTATCAGGTATTTGGGCAAGTACTCGTACTTGGCCAAATGCTCTGATGTCTAGCCCGATACCTGAGCTTCCTGTACCACGAAGCCGGGCAGCTAGTCATTACACACTGCCCGGCTTCCTGATTGGCCCGAAAGCCAAGCCACTTGGTGACAAGGGAGCATGGAGCCGGCCTACCAGCCTATCAGGAAGGCAGGCAGGGTGTAATGACTCGCTACCTTCCTTCCTGATTGGTCAGGAAGCTGGCTAATCAGGAAGCCGGACGGCAAATCATTAACCGCCCCCCCGGCTTTCTGTTTGCCCAGAAAGCCGGCATTATGCTCCCTCATCACCTGGTGACGAATGAGCATGGAGCCAGCTTCCCGGCCAATCAGGAAACCGGGTGCTGTGTAATGACACGTCGTCTGGCTTCCTGATTGGGCAGCTTCTGAACCTGGGGACAAGGGAGCATGGAGACGGCTTCCCTGCTAATCGGGAAGCCGGGTGGCAAGTCTTTGCACGCCTCCAAGCTAATCATGAAGTCAGGTGGCGAGTCATTCCACGCCGCCTGGCTTCCTTAATGAGACTTCCAGTATCGGTATTCGGTATCGGCAAGTACAAACAAAATATCAGTACTCGTACTCGATACTGAAAAACCAGTATCGGTGCATCCTTACATCAAGTGAAGTCAGGCCTCCCGATCTGCATGCTTGTTCTGGGTTAGTGAATCAAAAATACTGAAGCAACTGGATCAGTATGACTGCTGAGCAACTAGCATATTTTCAGATGGAGATTTTAAAGCTGGGTGTATACATTCCTCATGAACCGGCCAAAATTTGCACACTTGGTGCTGCTGTTGGCACCCTTCTGCCTGGCATCCCTCGAACAGCTGAGTGAAAAAGCTCCGTTCAGTTATTCTGACAGCGGCTGCCTTTTGGCAGAGAAGACATACAGGGCGACTTCTGTTAAAAATGCCTACCAGTTAGGATTTTCCTAAAAAACAGTGATAACTTCCGCTTTAAGCCCCTGTGTCCATGGTATCAGTTTGAGATGCTGCTGAGATCATTCAGAATTCATCGATGAGTGTATCTGACCTGCATTTGATCTCCTTCTGACCTGCATTTTACCTGCATGAAATGGGTTTTGTTTTCCCATAGACTATTACAGGAATGCAAAACTCAACTGAAGCGAACAAAAAAACTGACACAGGTCCTATTATTTCTACCGATTTCTGTCTTCACAACCTTCACTTCCAAGCAAACCAATCACTAGGAAACAAACATCCTATAAAGGCATATTAGTAATACCAACCAGTCTGTGACTTCCATGTTCACTCTCCTGTAGAGCTATGGTCACTGCTGGAGTCCTCGGCATCTGACACTTCTAAAGCTCACCACAGCTTACAATCTGACAAATCTTAAAGATTATAACGTGTGTGGTGAGCCTGTGGTGAAGTTTGTTGGACGTCTGGTCCCCTGCTGTGCCTTGTTGTTCTTTCCACTGACCTCTAAGTCATTACTGTGTCCTGTAGTGAGTGGTTGGCAGGGTAAAGCACAGTGTGCAGCAACGGAGACAGCATCTGGTGTGAACGTCACAGTTGCTGCCTGCCAGACCAATGTGTATTACAAATATTCTAGCCTCCTTTAGCCCAGATTCACTTCTTTGCTTTACAGCAATGTGCATTTTACCATGCTTTACTGCACCGCATGGTAATACGTGAACTGCGGTGACATTTGCTTTAACCTTTTCGCTGCCACCGGCGTATGGTATACGGCAGAACACAACTGCTTGCAGCTGGCCATCTGAGTATGCCATACGTCTGTGGCTTTTACCCTTCTGCTATAAGCTCATGGTTGCTTCAGCAACCATGAACTTATACCAGGATGTGAATGTAGTGTTTTAACATTTGTATACATGAGCCCTTAGGGCCCAGTCACTCCAGACATGCGCTAATCATGTTTTTTTTATTTTGGGTAGAACGTGATCTAAATGTCACAAGTGACATTTCATTCAGTTCTAAGGGCACAGTGGGGTGCGAAGAGGTTGTACTGTGTTGTGTCATGCTGCCCTGAAAAAACCATACAGCATCTCATACTTTTTTTTTTTCAGCGCACCCCATCCCAATGCGGTGCTGTGAACCGATCTCATCCGTAACAAGACAAATTGCCTTGTCTTGCATTGGGGCTGCACTAGAAACAATGGCCAACATGGCCCCAACTCATCCAGTGTGAAGGCACCCTCAAAGGAGAACTATGAGGTGAGTGATGTACACTTATCCTCATATTGAGAACCGACGTGTGACAATGAAACTGTCACATGTCAGCTCTTTTGACCGGCAGGTGAGCGAACACATACGGTCGCTTGCTCCCGGCAGAGAGCGGTGACTGTCAGTCACCGCTCCCCACAGGGATCCCCCCCCCCACTCCTCCAGCACTGATTGAAGGAATAGACGGGGAGGGGGCGGGCACAGCTGGCTCTGCCTCTAGATAGGTAGAGCCCGCTGTCAATCAGCCGGCTGGATGGATCTAGAGACAGTATTGTCGGAAATGGTCCCATTACTCAGTATGTATCGGGCAATAGCTTGCTATATACTAAGCTTCGGGTCATGGGAGGAGGTTAGTATAAGTTCTCCCGTGACCCTAAAGAGAACCATGGGATAAAAAGGTTACCCCATAGTTCTCTTTTAAAGTTAAATAACAAAATTGCACAACATGCATGTAAACCTTCTATGCGTTGTTAGAAGAAAAAAAAAACACATTCCATCAGTCTAGCAAAATGAATGGGCTGCATTAACACTAAACAAGTGGTACAGCATAGAAACACATCTGGACAGTGTGCAGGGGCTCAGCTATTTCTAAACAGGCCCATTGTTGGTGTGTGCTGCTTCCAGTATGGGGCGTCTTGGGGCCCCCAGGAGAGCCCAGGCACAGCTCACCTATACTGTCCGTGTCCTGGAACTCTGTGACCAGAGCCTGCAGGTACTGAAAGCGGTCTGCGCCTGCGCACTGGCCCTTACTCATTCTCCCGTCCTCACTACAGTCCAGAACGCGGAGATACCGGCGGAAGTGACGTCATGTGTCTGGCGGAAGTTGCTCTCACATGTTCAGGAGACCACGTAAAAGCGTGCTGTGCCAGTAGACCTATGTGTTAGCATTGCTCGGGCTGTCTTTTTTTTTTATATAGCGCTGCAGCGTATTGGTATTATTTGCAAACGGTTTACATTTTTTTCCAATTCCTTAGTTATAAATGCCTTTTTTTTAAATAATTGATAACGTACAAGTTTGGAATAGACGTCGTGATTATCTGTTAATCGCTGCCGCCCTCTAGTGGCAGCTTTGAAAAGCACAGTTAATGAATGTGGTTCTTGCCGGTTAAAGGCACAATCCACCTTTTGCGAATGTTTAGTCGACACACCCACATTAAAAAAAATTGCATTTATTGCATTAAAGCCTGCAGATTCTTGCACCCACGACCAGTGGATTGTGGGTGCTATTGTTTACATCCCAGGCAGGGGCGTAACTAGAAATTCCAGGGCCCCATAGCAACATTTTGTAAGGGGGAACCCCCCCCCCCCCCCCAGCACTAAAACGCGACTAAAAAAAGACAAAAATGCTCTTTCAAAAAATGGTACGGAAATCACGGTGAAACGCTTCCGCCCTGGTGTGAATGGCGCCTGAATGAGGCCTAACACTTTACTTTAATACTGCCACACCAATGAGAAGCTGAGGAAAGTGGGATTATTAAAAAATTAAGGAATGCTAAACTGTAAATAAGCATTTTATGTTATAAATGGTTTTTGCGCTGTATTGGTGTTTGTGTTGTGATAAAATGATACAGGCGTATATTTCATTGCAACACAAGGTATCACAACGCACAGCAATGCGTCACAAAGCTTTGCCATGCGCTGCAACAGTTAAATGAATGTCTTTTACAAAAGAGAAAAAATCATGCACTGTGATCCGTTCTAACAACGCACTGCAGCGCATGTGCCTGGCGTACACAATATGGTGCACGTGTATGTTGTGTGTGGGATGAGGGGGGGGGGGGTTGTGCTTTTTTTAACATTTAAACATTTTTAATTTATTTTTTAATTATGATTTATTATTATTTTACTGTTGGGGGGCTTAGGGAAAATATTAGGGGTCTAAACAGACCCCTGACATTTCCCTTTTGAAATAGAAGAAGACATTGAGGACACAGAGTCCTCAATGTTTTTTTCTGCAGCCTCAGCACTCAGTGAATGTGAAGCACTCAGTACAGAGGCTTCCCATTCATTCACAAACTGCTGATAGTAAGATATTTACTACCAAGCAGATTCTGAATGGGGAAAAGCCTCTGTACTGTGTGCTTCTCCCCATTGAGAAATTCATGAATGAACAGGATGTAAATCACAGCCTGTTCATTCATAACTGGGGACACATAGTACTATGTGTCCCCAGTTATTTACAAACACTGGAGTGATCAGACGATTGCTCCAGTGTTTGTGCTGCACACGTGGGATCGGTAAATATCAATGATACTTACCGATCCTCCGCTGGGCCACGCACACAGCCGCTGTCTTCCTGAAACTGACGAGGACAGCGGCTCCATTTTTTGTGCGCTATTGTGCAACACATCTACTGTATGTTGCAATTTGGCAGGTGCATTGCGGTGCCATTCATTTGAATGGCACTGCAACGAACCTGCCGGACACAATGCGCTCCAGTGCAATGCGCGGTACTACAGTACCATGTGTTGTGGTCTGGTGTGGCCAGGGGGCTTTAAATGCATGGCAACACATCTGCCAGACTGTAATGTACAGTAGTCGTGTTGTGCAGTAGTGTGAGTTAATCGCGTGGTACTGTGCAAAAAGCGCACCACAGCAGTGTCAATGTACCCTAATTCATAAGGATCCGGTCACACCAATTCCAGTACGGGTAGCTGCTGAAATGCACTGTATCGCATACTGTAAGCCTCCCTGCATTCTGGGGCGGCGGATTCAAGTCAATGGCACCACAGCCAGGCCTCCTGGCCCGCAGTGCTGTCCTGTGCACTAAATGCGTGGCACAGCAATGCCCGCTTTCTGGTCCAGTGCGATCACAGAAAATAGTGCGTGAACTCACCGGAATTGGTATGAACAGGCCCTAAGTGTGGTTACCTTACTGCATTAGTGCTGGTGCAATATACAAGTCCATCTGCTTTAGTGGTAGTTCTGCAATTCACAGATCCCTGTGAATAGATGATGCAGCTGTGTGGGCAAAGCCATGCACAGCTGCCTTCAGGGCTTGTTCACACCATGTCCGGACCAGAATTTTTTTTGTCCATAGCTGAAATGCATCCCAATGCATTTCTATGGTATTTCTGGGCTCTGTTCACACAGTGTAGTCCGTTCTGGTGCTGGGAAAAAAATGTTGCATGCACTATTTTTTCTGATCTGGAACGCACCAAAACAGATTTTAAAAAATGCAGTTGACTGTGCCTGAAAGCCATTTTAGGGTAAAAAAAAAAATGTTTTTTGCAGATCTGGTCCGGACATGGGGTGAACAAGCCATTAATGTGACCATGTTTTATTTTTCACCCTAAATATCAGTATAACATGGAACATGATCAGAAAGGTGAACAAAGCCATTGAATACAATACGGGCTTGTTCACACTATATCCAGTGCATTCCTGCATGGTTAGTGTCTGGAACGTACTGGATCGCATAATTAAAGCCTCCCGCATTCTGGGGCGGGAGGGGGTGTGGCAGGGCCACTAATGTCAATAGCACCGCAGGCACACCTCCTGCCGGCAGTGCGATTGCCCGCATGTGCACCATGACACCTCCCACCGAGAACGTGGGAGGCTTTAATTATGTGATCCAGTGCTTTAAGGCCACTATCTGTGCCAGAACACACTGGATGTGGTGTGAACGGGCCCTAAAACCGGCAAGCCCACTATCGCTCTATAGACCGCTGTAAATATGTACTGTATAAATATCAAAATGTCACACTAAGCCTGTTTCAAATGCTGGTATAAAGGAGTATTATTGGAGAAAAAAAAAAGCATGAGGATATCTCCAGCCTGATTTTTTCTTTCCTTTTAGAGGGAAGGGTGAGAAGCTCTACCAAGTTTGACTACTTTCTGTTGTTCCATTGTGAAGATTTCCCCTCACTCCTTGACCCGGTGACACAGGGACAGGAAGTAAGGGAATCAGGGATGCAATTTACTCCGACTTCCTGTCCTGGTCATAATGTTGTCATTTGCAGAGAAAGTACAGGGAAATGTCCCCAGTGAGGGCCCAGACAGTAATAAAAACTTGTTAGTGATGCTAACCATCTACCCCTGGAGCAGGAATGGACATAAAAATTACTAGCATAGTACTTAGTGACATTATACTCGGGGGTTAGGTGCGAGGCAAAGAAATGAGAAATAGAGAAGCGAAACAATTTTGTAGCCGTTGGATACCACCTTTTGCAGACGAGTAGGTATTCAGTATTTCCACAAAGACAGAAGAATTGTACATGGGCGCCCCAGGGAAGGTTGCGTAGGCCTTATGGGTCCCAGAATTGGAAGCCAATTTTCAAGCGCAAAAGGAATACCTGGATGCCGGAAAGAACGGTGCCAACTTATGCTGATGGTCCTTGCCCTTACACACCTGGGAATATGGTAATTCTTACACCCTGTAGCATTTCTGAAAATGTCTCCCAAAAGGTGATATCCCATGAAGCACAGTTAAAGAAATCCTTCATAGAGGTCAGCTCCGCTGACTCACATTTTTACCAGAGCGATCTGAGTAACGGAACAGCAGAAAGGGTTATACCCGAGAGGTATCCATCTCCGCACCACAAAAGTTAATCTTGACCATCTAGTCAACGCAAGCCACCAGCTGTCTGGCTACAATGGTGGTGAGGAAATCCTTTCCCAGGGATTTGGATAAATCTGCTAGGATTTGAAAGATGAGTGCCAATGCTAGGACAAAGGTAAGGCACTGAAAAATGCTTGGTGCAGGAAACTGTACTTTCACATGCTTCAAATCCTCTACATTGTTGGAGCTTTCAGTCAATTCATAGACCTGATACTGCTCCAACTATCTCAGCTCTGCTTCCCTGAACTTCCAGTCCAGTACAAGATCACAAGGGACAGCACAGTCTACAGCAGCTTTTTATCTACTAGCTTGGAGAAAGGAGTGTCTTGCCTTGCTGTGCCTGTATGTATGTGGAGACACACAGCTTACTAGACAAAGTCCATATACCTTATTGCACTCCTTACCGGTCTGTCCCAATTATAATGTGTGCTCGCAATGACCGCAGATGGCGCCGCTCACAGTGCAACAGTAGATCGAAAGACGTCATCAGCTCTCCAATCCAGAGATTAATATTAGCGTAAATCCAATTTATTGACAAAAGTCATAAAGACAAGCCCTTTCAGGGCCACGCAGGGTCCCCTTCATCAGGCTCAGTAGTGACAATGTGCAACAGAACCACAGAGGTTTGTCAATAAATTGGATTTACACTAATGTGAATCTCTGGATTGGAGTGCTGATGACGTCTTTCTATCTACACAGATTACTAGAAGACACAACTGTGGCTCCATAGGACCCTCCAAGGGAAAGGAACAATCCTAAAACAGGATAACAGGGCCAGTTCTCAGGAGATCAGCTGATTCTACAGGAAGCTATAGGCTCCTTCTGCCGTCAACCAAGTTGTAGGGCGGAGAGGAGGGGTGTGGCCTGGCACAGGGCTGTGTGCGCTTATGGACGCATACAACTACTTGCGGACACGGCCCTGAAGGAGCACGTACGCGTGCCTCCACAGGAGCTGCTGGAGGTACCCCTGCAGGGGGAGAGGATGCGGGAACCCACTAGAAAGCGAGATATTGAGAAGTTAAAAAAAAAAAAAGAACACAGATCTGAAATAAATACAACCTCCCAGTGATAAAAATAAAGCTTTATTATCACTTTAAAGTTGAAAGTCTGGAAGTCAAACACACCCTGGTTGTTTAACCAGTTGACATCCGCGGTGTTAAACCCCCTTCCCATCCAGGCCATTTTTCAGTATTCAGCGCTGCGGTACTTTAACTGACATTTATTCCGTCATGCAGCGCTGTACTGAAATGAATTTTATACCCTTTTTTGGGGACAGATAGAGCTTTCTTTTGGTGGTATTTATTCACCACTGGGGGTTTTATTTTTTTACTATATGAAGGAAAAATTACCGAAATTAAAAAAAAAAAAAACAGTTTCCCCTATATTAAATAGGTTAATTTCAAATCTAAATCTGTAAAAATTGTGACGCAATCAGCTCCCTTGCTCTCTGGATGTCATACCAAGCATGTGCTTCCAAATAAACTATGCATGTTTGCTGAGTATTTCAACTGATTGCCCTTTAAGAAAATGAAGGAACAAGTATACAGTGAAAATGATGTGATGCAACTTTGTATGTTTTCAACTTTGCGATTAAAATGTGTAATATTGTTTCATACTGGTCAATAAACAGGAATACTAACAAAAGAAAACAAAAAGCAATCAGCAGTGGAGGCTTCTGTATATATATTTTATCCATAAAAATGTAAGTAACTATTATACAGACACCACAGAAAACAGGGTTATTTTAGATATTACATTCATAGATCAAACAAAATTAGTTTTAACCTCTGACATGTGGGTTTTATAGGACAGTCAAAATGCTAAAGCTCTGTGGCTCAGGCTGCAAGTTGGTATCCATGCATAAAATAAATCCAAAACAATTCTTCAATCCTATTATATTCAGTTGGCAGACGTTTTTGGATATCTTGCTCGTGCCTCTTTTGCTTCATTTTCTAGTTCATCTAGAAACTTCTCTTGTGACACAGAGTAAAAGGTATATCCATCTGTGAGGAAGTTAAGGCTTTCAAACCTAATTCATCTACTAATAAAAGGCAGAAGAAACAGCACAAATATCACTCACACACATACATTATTTACTCACTCTAGCTTTTCTTTCTCTTATAGGAAACACCCACTTTCTCTTTAGTAAGTGAATTTCCCTGTAACCGCTTGCCGTCCGCCCGTTGTGAAAAAACAGACGGACGGCAAAGTCCTATCGACGGGTTGCTGTAATTAGAGGGCTTTTTTTCTGCGTGCGCACACGGGCGGAAAGAAACGTCCGTTCTCCAGAGCCGTAACCGGCTGTTTCACATACAAATGATCAGCGGCTCTATAGCCGCCGATGTTGTGGCTCCACGCCTCCCCCTCCTGCACCCTCAATCTCGGGATCCACTACCCCATCTGCGGCCTGGGACCGGCGCGGGAGGGTGTCAGGAGGTAACATGAGAGGGAGATCAGCATCTTCCTCCTTGCTGACCTCCCTCCGTGCTGTGAATGCGGAAGTGATGTGTAATACATCACTTCCACATTCACCTGTCAGTTATCTGGCTGCTATTGCCAGAGAGAAGAAGCTGATGAAGCAGATCTCTGCTTCATCAGCTACTTTGGGGGTCCCCAGGTGACAGGGGTCTTAAAGACCCCTAATGTCTCCATAAAGAGGACCTGTGCTATCACATAGGGCGATTATTATCCCCCTATGTGATAGCAAAAACATTAAGTGTAAAAAAAAAAAGTCCCCCACCCCCACGTTTACGCACATATAAACTTAAAAACGCATCAGATGCTACAGCGCGCAAAAACAACAATTGCGCTACACATGTTACCTATCACCGCTAACTACCGAAAATAAAAAACTGTTTCCCCTATATTAAATCATAAAACATTATTACCCACTTTTTTGGTAAAATATAAAAGACGGGGTCACGTCGGGTAAAAAGACACCAAACATGTCAAGCCTTAAAATTGTGCGTGCGTGCGAAACCTAAAAAAAAATACAATTCCCGAAATTGGCTTTGGCGATGCTTTACAAGCTTTTACTGCTTATCAATTTAGTGTTATCAGTGATTAATGGCCCTAAAATTATTGCTCACACTCAGGCGTGTCGTGGCGATATGTAACGTGTGGCGTAACCATTGTTTTCACACGTAGGAGCACCAGACGCATATTTACGTTTATAAGTGCATGCACGCAGGGGAGGGGGGCTTGAACTTTTTTTGGGTGTTTATGTTAGTGGGCATTATATGGAGGACATTGCCAATACACAACAAGGGTCCACAATGGCCTGTAACTAACTAGTCCGCAGCCACCGGCAGTATCTGGACAGTCCTACTCCCCATTCAAGGCCAGAGACGAGAGTGGGGCAGTGCAGCTTTGTCAGTGCGGAGAGTGATGGCTGAGTGGAAGGGCTGACAGCTCTGCAACAGGCCAGGGACAGGTTATAGGGAGGTCTGGCTTCTGCTTCTCTTCGTGTGGAGACCACAGATCCTGAGCTGGCGCCATGGATTCCTCCACTAGCAGCCCTAAGGCCATCAAGAAACTGCTGGAGAACATGCAGAGCGACAAGCGGAGCCTCTCAATAGAGTCCATGTCAAAAATGTAAAAAACCTGTTAGGTGTGTGCACCCATATCCTCTCTTCAAATTACACCCCCAGCAGCAGACCCCCGGTCTGTCCTGTGTTATGTTATCTGCCGCATACTTATCACTAACACTGTAGAACCTCCAACACCAACCCATGAAACCAATTGTCTTCCATAAAACCAGTCCCAGGTGTCAAAAAGGTTGGTGATCGCTGCTCTACAACATACAATTTGGGAATTATATTTCTGTAAACTTATGCTACCATAATGCAGAGAGGTGTCCGTGCTGGAATACAGATGGATCCGGGCATTTCTCTAGAATAGGGAGTATAAAAGCTCACAAGGTCAGGATACAGATACCCAGCACGATGCCGCCTATAGCCAGGGCAGTGATGCCATTCCTGGTTCTCAACTTCCCCGAGTTCTTTAGCCACTGAGACATCTCTTTTCTTCTGATAAACTCTTGCTGCTCCCGGGTAAGCTTTGTTTGATCGATCTTCTCCGCATACTTCGGATCAGATCCCGCTTCACTCCTCTGCTCCACCATGTCTACAACCTTGCGCAGCCTGATGACGTCACCGGTATAGCAGTGCTGTTTTCAGGGATATGAAAAAGAGCTCCTCTCGCCTATATTCACTCAAATCACACGTAAATATCCTTCATAGGACAGTACAGTTATTGACTGTTTCTATTTTTCTTAAATTTTGTATTTCTTCTACCTCACGTGGGGATTCTCTGGGTATAGGAAGCTGTATCCGGAGCCATTTTGTCGGAGACCTTGTGAGGTACATTCATTTGTGACCGTGAGACGCAGACAGAAAAGAAGGTTTTCCATTATTCTTATATAACACCTACATGGTTAAAGCGTCAATAAACACAGTTTGTTGTCACGCCTTGCTATTAGTATTCTTTAGCAAAGTATTTTGTGGGAATTTACGTCAAAGTTTCTTACTGGAGGTTTTATCAGTAAACGCACTTCTTGTTTCACACTAACGTTGTCACACGCATCACAAATCTCAGGTTCCGCTGGATTGGCCGGGTATGTGAACAGGAGTGCTGGGGCGTTTGTTACAGGCCAGCACCTGGATCCAGCTTTATGCAGAGGCAGCATGGCAAAGTAGTAATCTACCTGACAATGCAGGAGATAGACTTCACAAACTATTATTCATTCAAATGGTTACTATTGTTGCTCTCCTTAAAGGAGAACTATGAGGTGAGTGAAAATCACTCATCCTCATAGTTCGAGCCGGCGTCTGACTCTGACAATGAAACTGTCAAACATCGGCTCAATAGATCGGGAAGTGAGCAAACGCATACTGTCACTCGCTCACTTCTCAATCATCTCCCTGCAGAGAGCTGTGACTGTCACTCACCGTTCTCTGCAGGGATCCCCCCTCCCCCCCACTCCGATCCTCCAGGGCTGACTGGAGGTACAGACGGGGCAGGGTGGGTACAGCTGGCTCTGCCTCTAGATAGGCAGAGCCAGCTGTCACTCACACAGCTGGGTTGATCTCGACAGTAATGTTAGGATCCGTCCCGGCTGCGGCGGTCTCAGTATACCACGAGCTGCAGCTCGCGATATGCTGAGCTTTGGGTCACAGGAGGATGCTAGTATATGTCCTCCTGTGACCCTTAAGAGAACTATGGGGAAAAACGCTTACCCCATAGTTCTATTTTAAGCCCTAATACTCCATCTGTTGGGCACCATTGTTCTCTCCCTACCTCCTGATCAGCACAGTTCTCCCCCCCATGCCCCCCAGCAGCAATGTTGCCCTCTTATCCTTCACTGGGCACCAGTGCTAGCCATCACACCTTGTTGACACAAATACATCCCCCCAAATGGCTACTCACTCCAGTCATTTTCTCCTCCCGCTGACCACCAAAGCTGGCCATTTTTACTACCTCTACGCTGTTAGGCCAGCTCCATGCTGATTGGCTGGGAAGCAGGTTTTTCGGCCAACCAGCATCAAGCTGGCCACACATGGAGCCGGCTTCCCGGGAAATCAGGAAGCCGGACGGCGTGTCATTACCAGCTGCCCGGTTTCCTGATTGCCCTGGAAGCCGGCGGAAGCACAGGTATACCGACTGCAAAATATCAGTACTCATACTCGATACCTAAAAACCGCCACATACAGTGGCTTTCACATACAGTGTGTCACTGGCTTAAAAGCAATTGGCTCAGATTAACAGCTGGGCAACTAACATTTTTATAAGGGGGTGTCAGCAATGGCAGCCTTCATATTTCTCCCAACAGATATGTCCTTTAATATGCAGTATCTAACTCTAAAGGTTTCTGTAACCGGCTTCAAAAATGATTTAATTTGAACATTAGATAACATGGTATAATCAGTTCTCTCAGTACACGTTACCTTTTAAATGAGGAAAATTGCAGCTTCTGTAGAAGATCTGAAGTGGGTGTTCAGAGTTGGTGGATTGTGGAAAAGTTATAGGAATAGGCAATGCAAGTGCAGATTCTTGCTAGTTTATAAGTGATCTTTGTGTCTTGTTCTTCCACTGGAGTTCTGCTGGCCTATAAACACTGGTGCTTAGATAATATTGGTATAACGATAGTCATAAACCATTTAAAGTGACATTAAACCCTCAGATTTTTTAACATAAAACAATACTGTAATGTGTGCCTTACTGTAATCCATGGTAGTTTCCCTTCTCTTTGCTGCTCTTCCTTTTAAATCTGTATCTGTTCTCATGCTGGGCAGAACTTCTGTTTTGCAGCAGACTGCCTTGTCTCTGAAATGGATACATGGTGTCTGTGTGTACGTTTGCAACCTGAGCCAACACTACAGGAAGAGGCACTCGGCTGCAAAGGGAAGTTCTCCCCCAGCATGAGAAGACATGAAGATTTAAAAGGAAGAGCAGCAAAGAGAAGGGAAACTACCATGGATTACAGTAAGGCACACATTACAGTATTGGTTTATGTTAAAAAATCTGAGGGTTTAATGTCACTTAAAGTATTTCAGATTAGAGAATAATAATAATATGTGTACAGTACATAATCCCAGTTTAATTCATTTCTGTGTGCTATTTGATTTACTTAGAGGATGAATCGACTTCCATTTAAAACTATAATATTTTCCCGAGTTCCATGCAAAATATTTGGAATAATGCCATATGAAATCTTAGAAGATATTCTCATTGGCTTGGCAGACAACAATGAGCGTGTCCTGGAAAACCTGTCAGTTCATGCTGGCTGTTTCAAACAACCAAAGGTGATAGGTGAGTCGCTGTTTGACAAGTGTCCTTATGTCGATATTGCATGTATATTTATTTGTTAAGAAAATCTGAAAGACAGTATAGGTACACATAACGATATAAGATCTTTCATCAGAATCTAGCTCAGATTTTATAACCTCTCTGGCTACAGTCTAAACCAGTGGTTCTCAACTCGTGGGTCGCGACCCAAAAGTGGGTCGCGACACCCTCTGCAGTGGGTCGCGGCGTCATGTCTGCATAGACCGGCCCATCTGCATTAGAGAACTAGAGGGGGAATTTGTGGTTCAGCCTGTGGAACCTCATAATGTCAGACTGTCCCCTCTCTCCTGGCCTCCCCCGAGCTGACCATGTTTAAAGAAATAAAAACCAGGGACACCCTACTGACCATGCCCACTTTTAATCCACACCCACAAAACCAGACCCCCTGTTCTATCAAAGATTGTGACTGGGTTGGAATGTGTAACCGGTCACGTGGTCACACATTTTAACCTAATCACGCTCACTTTTTTTGCGGTAAAATATGTGACCGGCAAAAGGAGAAGAATTCCAACGCTTTCTTAGCTGTTCCAGGGCAGATCGGCATTGCAGATTGCATGTACAGGAGAACTGATCTGCCCTGGAACAGCTGATCGGTCCTGAAATGTGACTTCTATCCGACCTTGTGGAATTTTAGATCGCACTCACAAAGTCGGATAGAAGTGACATTTCAGGACCGATCAGCTGTCTCAGGGCAGATCGGTTTTCCTGCACATACGATCTGCAATGCCGATCTGCCCTGGAACAGCTGGAATTCTTCACCTTTTGCCGGTCACATATTTTACCGCAGAAAAAGTGTGCGTGATTACGTTAAAGTGTGTGACCACGTCACCGGTCACACATTCTAACACAGTCACAAACTTTGATAGAACACCCATTTGAAGTCACGCCCATAAAAATCACACCACTATTTTTAACACACCCTCAAACAATTAGTTACAGAATTTTGGAACAGGAGGCAAACGTAATTTATAGACAAAAAAGACAAAATAAATAGATTTCAAATAATAGGCACCATGTTATGCATACATACCGTAGATAGGAGGGACACATTGAAGCTGCCCTCTGCAGACCTGCCAGTGTGGTCAGTAAAGTAGGTGTCGCTTCTAGACATATGGCTTGTAGTGTGGGAGTAAAATAAGCCCCAAGCATTGGCAGTCATTTGAACTCCCAGTACTGGTGTCACTGGCAGCAATAATAATCCCCAGCACTGGTGTATGTGCCTGCTATGACAGCCTCCATTTTTATTTTAAGAAACACCTTAAGGAGTAGACACTTGGATTATTTATCTGTCAGTTATTGGTGTTGTTTATGAGGAGGAGTGCAGAAGTGTTATGTCCTGTACAGTGGAATGTAACTTTTCCAACGCAGCTGTCAAATAAAGCATCCTACCTTTTTAACTTCTGTGAGAAACTTAGCATTTACTTTAATTCAAGTTGCAGGAGTAAGGACTAAGTAGTGCAGGGGTCAGGAGTATATAATACAGAGTTGAGAAGTCAGTAGTATGTAACAGAGTGCACGGGTCAGTAGTAAGTAACACATAGGTCAGTAATGTGTAACGCTGATTTCAGAGGTCATTCATAAGTAACGCAGAGGCCAGTAGTGACACAAGTAACAGTTATTCTGTTGTTTAACTGAAGTTTCAACAACAAAGGAAGTAGGCATGTGCATGCCCTTCAAAACGAATAGTTGTACTGGCAGAAAAAAGTTTCACGGGGATATTAACTTGACTGAGGGATTATAGCGAAGGCAATCTGTGCCCTATCTAGTGACAGTCCAGTAATGCTTCCTCTAGCATCAATCTTGATTATTGGAATGGCCAGCAGGGGGTCCCCTATACTGAGAAGCTGAATGACGGTGTCCTCGTTATACACTACCAGGAAAACTCTATGGTTTACCAGTTGGATGTTGCATAAATGTTGATTTAGTTATTATAGAAAGGTGTCACTGGAGCAGGAAAATAAACAAGTATGCAACAAAAGAAAATAAAATGTTATTTTAAAAATAGTGCCCATTTAATACCGAGATTGATATTTTGCACAAAACGGTGTATGGTTTCCAAACTTAGAATGTTGACTTTGATAGATTTTGTGAGGGTCCTGGCGCCAGCTCTGTCACTGCTGAGAAGGTGTGTGCAGCATGGACAGAAAGGGGGGCAAATTGCATGCTGAATATTGTAGTCTTCGGGCAGAACTGCTTTATGAGGCATGCGGGAGCTCAAACTATAGTTACCGAGTGGTTGATGAGCCATCTGTTTGTCATTCTGTAGTTTGTGCAATGGCCACCCCCACCCTCCAGGCTTAGGTACGTCAGTGCTGCCAAGGACCTGTGTTTGTCAGGGACAGATCCATCAAAATGCTGACTGTCCTCAGAAAATAGAGAAGAATGGTAACCATAGACTGTACTTCATAATAGCCCCTTCTTTAGAAGTTTTGATATGTTAAAGGTCTTTTTTTGGCACTTTAATATCTGAGTACAGTATAAGGAAAATAGTGATTAACCCGGCAACAAGCCCTAATTGAAACACAAAATGATAGTCAACACATAGAACTCAGAAATGTGTATCTAAGAAAAGCCAGCGTGTTTCAGGACTAAGGCCCCATTCACACCTCTGATCTGAATGCCGGTGCACTGCTTGTAATCCTATGTAATACGATTACATGCAGTTCATTTCCCACTGCATGTAATCGTATGTCCCGGGTGCCAGCACAGGTGTCCCCACACCATGTGCAGGTACCCACACAGGCAGACCAAACATGTATGACCACACCAGACAAGGCAAATTGAGCTTATATATATATTTTATTTATAAGGAGCCAAAACATAACATAACCCACAAATAAGTAATGGCAACCAAAAACTAGGAACAAACCACACAATACCCTCACAGGGTATAACAGGGCATGAAAACCTTGGGAGCAGGGCAATAGGACTCAGGAACATAAGCAGGTAACAGGACTCAGGAACATAAGCAGGTAACAGGACTCGGGAACATAAACAGGTAACAGGACTCCGGAACATAAGCAGGTAACAGGACTCCGGAACAGAGGCAGGTAACAGGATACTGCAAGCGGGTAACAGGGCTCAGGACTGCAAACGGGTAACAGGGCTCAGGACACAGGACTCAGTCAGGGAAAGGCAACAGGATACTGAGCCACAGTCCTGACTGCAGGGAGGGATTATATACCCTCCCTGGAAGTACCAGATGGTGGATAATTGCTGGCAGCTGGGAGACACCCGCAGGTGAGCACTGGAGCCGCAGGTTCCAGCACCACCCAGTGGTGGTCTGATACCTGACAGTTCCTGACTGCCTGGAGACACCTGCAGGCGAGCGCAGGAACTGCAGGTACTGGCTCCAGCGCCACCTGGAGGTGCTCTGGAACCTGAAATCGTATCACATACGATTACAAGCAGTGTGCCGGCGTTCAGATGCTGTGGCCATCACCCAGTCATTAACTTGAATGGGTGACAGCTGCCACTTGTAAATGGAATATTAGGGATACCTGCTGCAGGAAAATGCAAGTTCCTGAACCAGGAATCCCTAATCGCACCTACAAAAATAGGTGTGAATGTGACCTTCGTGCATGCTTATATGAAGTCATCTTACATTCATTAGTTAAACATGCATATTTTCATTTCATTTACAATTTCTTGTTTTTTACTTCCTGGTTCTCTTTGGCAAAAGCGATGTAATGTGCCCAAGTGTTGCATCCTGGGAAAGTTATATCAGCAGAGCATTGCTGGCAAATCTCATCTGTAATCTAATGAGATCTCAGGGAAAGGCATTTTCCTCCCCTGAGATTATGTGCATGGTCACATGTCCTACTCACATGTGCCAGAGTTCCAGGAAGTAAAGGGAGATGGATTCATCTGCCCTTGGTAAAATGGCCACTGAGAGAAGAATGTACAGGAAAAGATAAACAAGGTATGCAAAGAATAAAAAGCCTGCAATTATCTATTTGTAGATTGCCATTACGAAACATTTCAATGGTGCCTTTGTTGTTTTTTTTGAAGATGTGGGTAAAGTTCCTCTTTTAAGCATTTTTACATGTAGAGGTGCTGGACTGATTCAATTTGCAACATCTCAGTCCAGCACCTCTGCCAATAAAACAAGCTCACAAAGCCCTAATAAAAGGGGACCACCCAGTGCCCCCAAACTGCATTGGCATGTCTATTTCAGCTTGCATAAAGAAATTGTTTTGTACTCTATATCTATTTACTATGACTCTCCGCTTCCTTTAAATATCCCATGATAAATGGCTTTGGCATTGAGATAAGTATTTTTCTTTTATTATTTAATTGTACAGCATCAGTGCTGATTAGTTTTTCAAAAGACAAGTCTTCTGTGTTAAGTAATGGATTGTGATGGTTTTCATTAAAATATAATGTGAATGTTTTATATTGCAGAACTGATGTTCTTATTGGCAGATCATTGGTGCCAAGATAGCACCACTAAGTATCAGGCAGTGGAACTTCTTGACAGGTACAGCTATTAGTCGGGTAGATATGTTGAAACGTTACAAACGTGTTTCTTTTTATACTAAGTGGTCTGTGCAACATAAAGAGTAACTGCACTTTAGGCACAACATGTCTTATTTCGATAATAATCACAAATACACATGTAAAAGTTGTATAACAAATGACACACACTAAGCTTTGTATGTATTTAATACAGCAAAATAACTTAAAGGGGACCTTTACCCATATCTTTAACAACACACCTTTAGACATGTTTAGTAATGACAATCTACACACACATACTTCTAGATAATTGCCGGCGTTGTATTCTTTACATACCATATTTCTCTTTTCTTCCCCAGTCTCCTGGCAGTGGCCATGTATATCAAGGGCAGATTACTAGATTACTAGCTCTCCATTTACTTCCTGGATTTCTGGCACATGTGACTAGGACATGTGACCATGCACATCATCTCAGGGGAGGAAAATGCCTTTCCCTAAGATCTCATGAGATTACAGATGAGATTTCCCAGCAATGCTCTGCTGATGACAAGTGTGCATTGCATTGGCAAACTGAAGTCATTTTACCCTTTCAAAGCAGGAAAGGAATGCTCTGCAAGTCTAAGTATTTAAAAATCGCAGCATTTTACACCTGACATGTCTATGTTATTATTAATCATCATACATAGAGGGATGCATTGGTAGAATTTTATTTTTGAGCGTAAAGGTCCGCTTTGACCTCATGACTTTTTACATGAAAGCTACAGTACAAAACAAACACAAAGAAAATATCTGCCCAGATGATTTACCAGATCCAGTCTTTTTCTGCTTCAGTGTGTAAAAATCCACCACACAATGCATATGTTTCTAGTAAGGGGTATTAAAGCATAACAAAAATTGTAATATATTGCAGCTTACCTGTCCTTAGATACGTGGCTGCATTCTTTTTTTTAACAAGCTTTATTTTCACCCTGTGATTCTGCCAGTAACACACTTCCTATCCTAGGATAACAACACTCGCTCACCTTATTGTATCAAGACAATAGAAACAGGACTACTGGGATTTTTCCCTGTCCTCTTGTACATAACATAGACCAGTGTGGTTCTGTGGGCCTCAGACCAATGTACTTAATAAGAATGCAACACAGGCAGAAAGCGCAGGAAGGTATCAGCTTACAAGATTTCTGTCAAGATCACAAGGTTTACTTGCACTTATTAAACATGTATAACAAAATACTTTAATTGGTATATACAGTATAAGAAACCAAAAGGGAGAAAATATGCGACGTTTATTGTTAGGTCTTACATACACATTAATAAAGTTTAATTAGGTGAATAAAGTATGATAGGAGAGTTCAAAGAGAGGCATTGACTGCTGTCAGTTTGGACAAGCTGATTTCTGCAGAAGAGAATCCATTTGTATATATTTTTTATCCACCACACGAGATAACATCCTTTCTACCTCATACTAATTTTATAGTAGAAAGAACTCTACTAATTACATGGCAGAGAGGTGCACATATTTTGAAATGGAATAAGACATTTATGTAAATGTGAAATTTATGTAAACTGAACCGAAGGGCTCCGGTGGCCGAAGAGAGCTGAAGGATCAGCTAAAGCTATGTCTGGATCCTTCGGCTCTTTAGTGAATAACCCTGTAAAACTTTTTAACATCAAGAAGCAACATCCATTGCAAGTGATTTAATCATCATCTGAAATGGCTTAAAAACCTTTTGACTTTAATATCACTTTGAGAAGTGAGAAGCTACTCACTCACTCAGTAAGGCCCCTTTCACATCTTTGCACAAGGTTTGTGCGCTTTCACGTGTGTTCGCACGCGTTTTTACCGCTGTTGCAGCGCATCAGCCAATTCACTTCAGCTGCGAGACTACCACTTTTTTGGGCCACACCCTTCTCCTGCCATTAATCTTCAAAAATCAGAGCCTCTAATTTCCACTGAAGCTCTTGCATTCAACATTTCAATAAAGAAGGCAGGTCTTATTGCCAGGAAGAGTCATTCTTGGCAATAGTAGAATCTCCATATGTAACCTTGGCATAGGATCCAGGAGCAGCACCACAGGGACACAAGGACTGCTTTGAAGACTAACATGGGTACTTGCAGTACCATGAGGGGCCTGCATTTCAACACTGTTGTTACCTTTTTACGCCCAGTCAGGTTCACGGTAAAATGCTAAGTAGACTGACACAAAAAGATGACATTGACTTTTTATTTCAGGTTCATGATCCTATACATAAAGCAGCTGTATAAATCCAGTACAGAAAATAGGAATGTGATGGATATCACAGAGGCATGGGCATCCGCAAAAGCCAGTCTATGCGAAAAGTTCATACTGTACCTGGTGTCTTGTATTCAGATTACTAGCAAGATGAATTTCCACGATCATGTAAGAGTTTTATTTTCACAAAAGAACTGTATGTATTGTACTGTCATGTACAGAAATGACCCTTCCCAAATTAACACTTTAGAAGTGCTTTAATATGGTATAGCTGGGTAGCATAGTGATAAAACTACCCTCTGTTTAAAAGGAAGCTATTGAAGCAGAAATAGGGTCTTTGCCATTGACTTGTTTTTGAAAGAGCAGGTTTTGGGTTTACTTACTTTGTGTTAGGTCAGAGGTGTGGGCCCTAGATGATGAGGAGGACCTCCCTTGCAACCCCGTCTGATGACCACTGGGGTTGAAGACAGTGTGCTCAGGCACGGGTTCCGGATCAGGATACCGGGTACCTGCAGCAGGTGGTGGCTCACCAGAGTAGGCAGCCGTGCGGAGAAGGTACTGGAGTCCAGTGGGGAAGTTAGAAGACAAGCCAGGTTGGTAATAGGCGGGCAACGAGGTACAAGGCAGGATCCAATGGAGAGTCGAGAGGCAGGCCGAGTCGGTAACAGGCGGGCAGCAAGGTACAGCAGGATAATCCAGAGGGAACGTCAGGGAGCAAGCCAGGTAACAGGATACAATACAGGAGCAAGATCACAGACGACTGGTGCTGGCTGATAATCACTCAGCACTGAATCCAAGTCCTGTGGGGCTTTAAATAGGCTGAGGACGTTGTGCTGCGCGTGCACCGGCGTGATGACGTCACCCGCGCAATGACGTCACGCTGTGCGGGGCGGATCCCGCCGGGTCACAGGGCATCTGAGCGGCGCCGACGGAATGCCCCCTCCGCGTGCACCCCGTGCGCACAGCGGCTTGGATCGGGCCACGGCATGGTCCGCCGGACGGAACCC